TCATTGAATATGGAGCTATGTACTTAGAGATGCAACCTTGTGCTCTATGACTGGCACCTACAATTTCAATTAGGGAAGGAATTGAGTCTGTTTTGTTTGCCAAGGTAAATCCAAATGCTTTGCATGGTATCTTATATACAGCAGGTGATCAATAGAGATTTGTTTAATGAATGAAGCGACTGGTTCTGTGATAATGGTTGAGAGACATAAGGAGGGAGGAAGAGATAAGGAGAAAGTGACATAGAGAGACAGAGACAGAGAAATAGACAGAGGGAGAGATACATAGACTTATAGACAAAGGGTAGGAGGGAGGGAGAGAGGAAGACAGAGAGATATACGAAACCTGCCATTAGACAAATTCTCAAACTGAGCTTCTTTGCAGAGAATCCATTGCTGCCTAGTAGAGAATAAGGATCACCTATCTAGCAGAGGTTGGGGAATACCTCTGACTTGATGGCTGGTCTATAGAGCACCTCTATGGGTTACCAAGGCTTTGGTATTTAGAAATTAAGCATTCTTATTCCCTTGAAATAATGTCAGTCCCCTCAAGGGGGGAAAAAGGCTTTTAAAGACACCAGTTCCTTATTTTTCAATGTAGATGTCTTATTGGATTTCATGGCCATTGTTATTGTTGGAATAGGAACTATCCCCCATAGAATTGTATGCCTGAACACTTGGCCCCCAGCAGGTGGCGCTGTTTTCTAATGTTATGGAAACTTTCAGCATGGCGCCCAGTTGGCAGATGTAGCAGGGTGATAGGGGCCAAGTTTATAGGTCACAACCTGGCTCCTGTTCCAGCCAGGGGGAGCCCTCTACTTACTGATGGACAGGATATGAGCAAGTTACCCCAACCTCCTGCCACAGACAGAAGCCACAGTCGTTAACGCCACCCCTGCTGTGAAACTGAGTTAAAACACATTCTACTTCCCCCAAGTCCTGATGGGCAAATACTTTGTCCCAGGAAATAGGAGAGTAATCTAGTAGACAGTATTTTGATGGACAGCATGAAAGAAAGAAGGAGAGGGAGGAAGGGCCATAATAAAAGAAGGCAAAGGGAGGGTAGACAGAGGAGGCTAAGGCAGATGGGCTAGAGTCACTGACAGAGTCGACACTTTTTATAGAGCATAAACCACAAAACAGGCATTTGTCCAGTGCTTGTCCAGGAAGTTCCTCCTAACCCCGCCCCCAACCCTAGAGGGGAGTTCCTCCTACCCCCCTCCTCCATTCGAGTCAAGAAAACTTTGCCTACTCTATCTACCCAAGAGACCCTCACAGTTCATAAAGGCTTGCTCCTAACTGTATTCAAACAAAGGACCTGGGATGTGAACCCCGCTTCAAAATGCGAGGTGTTCTCCTCTAATTAATATTTTTTTCCCTCAAATCATGGGTTTATCTATGGAGAAAGTTCTAAGTTTGACTCTCCTTGAGGGAGGAAGACAGGATGGCCTCAGCTAGACATTTCTGTGAAAAGCAATGAAAATCTGAATCAGGGAAACTCAGTGTTGTTACATAAGAACAGTAACAACAATCATAATGGAGGTAATAGTAATCACGGGACGGCTGGGGATTCCCTACACCCGGAGCTGGAACCGGATTCAGCATGGTACACAGTGCTCAAATGGATCTCGCCCCTGAGCCCCAGCTCAGTGCCTGTACTACCCTCATTTCACATGGAAGGCTCCTGACGGCTCCCTCAGGTTAAGAATTTCTCCAAAGTAACACATCGGTCAGTCAGGAGGTCCAATTCCTGGGGCCTGCTCTGCCCCACCCATGGAATCCAGACCCAAACCGTTCTCTCATCCTATGCTGCTCTTATTATGGGGAGGGAGCACTCTGGCTCCTCCCCAAACAGCGACCCACCCCCTGGGGTACACCTGGGCCCCACCTTCCCATCTCTGTGCCACCCCACAGCCATGTGGGCAAACACTCTGCCTCTCCCCAGGCAGGGGACGCCCGATTTGCATAACTTAATTAAATTCTGCATTCTCGTTTTCAGAGGAGCGGGCCTATGAAGGATGCTGAGTGCATGGTCTTAAGGCAAATCAACGTGCATGATGAAAGAGCCTATTTCGGTTAAGCAAATTATGAAGAGGCGGGCGATGTCCTCACTCTAATAATTTCCCGTGAATTATTTATATGGAAACTGCAATTACATCGGGCAAAACAGTGTTGTGTGCATAAAGCTCACTTAATTACCCAACCACCTGTTGGGACACAGGGTCCTCCACCAACCCATTTCTTCCCCCAACAGGTCCTTCCTTCCTCTGAGAGAATACAGACATGAGCAGGTAGGTCTGGGAGGAAACCACGGAGACAAGGACCAAAGGTCCATTCTCCTCTCTCAGACCCAGAGCCCCATCTTCCTCCCTCTGGTCCAGCCCATTGCTACCTTCCTCTTCTCCAGGAACTGAGCATCCCTGGCCCATCAAGGCCCCTACCTTATGCTTCTCTCTTTCTCTCTTTCTCTGTCTCTCTCTGTCTCTCTCTGTCTCTGTCTCTCTCTCTCTCTCTCTCTCTCTCTCTCTCTCTCACACACACACACACACACACACACACACACACACACACACACGAGACCAAAGGCAAGGACTAAGAAAGGTGACAAAGAAGAAAAGAGCCCCACACCCTTCTCAACAAACCCTTTAACCAAAGCAAGCGAGACCCCTTTCATCAGTGCCCGGTTGTTTAACTGGAAACGAGAGTTGCCATGGCAACCATCCTGTCACATAGTATTTCTTGCCACTTGCCAGTAGGAGAGGCGTTGATGTGTAGAAGAGAACCCTGGCTGGGTGGGGAAGGGTCGGGATGGGGAGAGCCTTGTTTGCGATCTGTTTGCTGAAACACAAGGTCACAGGGGCTGCCCCTAACCTGGGACACCTCGGTTCCTCACTCCCTCTCTCAGACCGGGAAGGCTGGGCCTGGAGGGGGAAGTGGTAAAATCTCCCTCTGCTACCCCTCCTGGGAGGAAAAACATCACAAGTGTCAGCAGTGCAATGGAACTGTCAGAAATACACGGAGCTGGAGACAGAATAAATGGTGAAACACACACTCCTCTTTGTTCCGCGACTGAAAAATTCATGTGATTTTTTTTTTCCTCCAAGAAAAAGTAAAAAGGGAGAATGGTCACTGGGAGGGGCGAGAGGAGAATCAGGACTGTCTGTCCCAAGACTGGGGAAGAAGCCCTCCCTCACCTCAGCTTGGAATCAAGGTTGGCCTAGACTCGGGCAGCAGGGACCCGGGTCTCATTAAAAGGTAGAAGAAAAGCAAAGTTGCTGAGACCTTCTTGGAGGGTAGAGGTGCAGAGGTCAGGGGTCACCTAAAAGCTGGTGGAAGATCCTGGGAACTCAGAACCCTGGATACGAGCCCTGGCTGACACTTGTCCTTGTGCAGTCTTGAAGAACTGACCAACAGAGAGGTCTGGGGTCGGCTCTGCCGTTCACATACAGTCTTTGTAGCACTGTGATTTATTTCGCCCTCAGTGAGAATGCATGGTGGGTGGATGAAATATTAATTGTGTTTAAATAGTTTAAAATGGTGATAATGTAGCTGGAGAGACGACTCAGCCAGTAGAGTGTGCTTGCTGTACATGCACAGGAAGCTGAGTTTGAACCCATGTCAAAAGCTGGGTGCCGTGGCATGTGCTTGTAATCACAGCAATGGCAAGGAAGAGACAGGCAGACCCTGAGCCTCGCTGGCCCGTCAGCCTAGATCGATGAGTCCAGACCAGGGAGAGACCCTGCCTTAAAGAATACAGTGGGTGGGGAGTGAAGAGTGAAAGTGAAGATGCACATGTATGCGCACACGCCTGCCACACTAAGCATACACACTCAGAGGAGAGAAATAATGGTAATAATTTCCATGGGAAGAACACAGAGAGCATGCCGTGTACTCTGCTCTGAGTTACATACACATATTATAAATCCCATGTTAGACCAAAAAAAAAAAAAAAAAAAAAGTGAGGCTGAGAGCTTCAGTCATGTGTCTAAGCTATAAAATGAAGAAGCATCGAGGCCAGCCTAGAAGCCCGGCTCCTACTGGCTTAAAGTCCAGGCTGTTGTTACTCAAAAGAAGAAGTTTGGAGCTGGTAACCCAAGTTCTCCTGAGCCGAGTTCCCAGCCCACACTGCTACTATACTTGGTCTCTATCCAGTCTGCGACCAGCTGCTTAACAGGGGTGAAATGGAGTGTTTTTTCTCCTTTAAAGATTTACCATGTATAAATGTATGAGAATATTAAAGGCAACAATTAACTTTATTGGGAACCTTATATTCTCCAGCCTCATTAGAACTGCCAACAAGATCTATTATTAGTATTACTATGCAGATACTGTAATAAAAAGGGTATTTAAAGTGGATAGTTTGGCAATGAAATAAAATAGCTTTTCTCTCTCTTTCTTTTTCTTTTGAAGATATATGTGTGTATCAGAGATGGTCTGAGCAAGGCAAAGGCCCCGTGGGACCTGAGGAATGAAGAGCTCATAAAATTTCCCTTTACCACAATGGCAGGCAGCTAGAGGAGTCCAAGGTGTGGCTGCAGGGCATCAGGGCTCTCCAGCCCCTCATCTTGTCGCAACACTACTCAGAGGAGGTGAATTTCTGCAGGATAAGAGACCCTGCTCGCTGAGCAGAAATACGCTTCGGGGTCCAGCTGCTGTCTCTGCATACCGAGAGTGTCTCACCAAGACCTTCTCACAAGCCCAGCCTATATCATCTTACCCTCTCATCTCCGAGGACAGACAGGAAGCTTGGAAAGAACTCTACCCACCTCTGTTTTCTCCCTTCCTCTATTTCCAGTGCACCCCTCCCTGCGGATTGAAAGTCGGGGACAAGCAAAGAGCATCTCCACATCTTCTGCATCCCAGCTGGCTTTTCCTGTTAGCTAAGCCTTTCTCCTATGAAAGTCAGGGAGAAGCAAAGAGCATCTCCACATCTTCTGCATCCCAGCTGGCTTTTCCTGTTAGCTAAGCCTTTCTCCTATCCCTTCTCGACTCAGCAGACTTACCAGGTGAGGCAGGAATGTCTCCCGGCTCCATCTTGGGAAGGCACGGAGTCCAAAATGCTTGGGCTCTCCCACTTGCTGGCAGTCTTGCTTTGGTAACACACAGAAGAAGTCCCCCTCCTCCAGAGACCACCTGTCCACTCCTGCCAGTCTGGTGACCACCTTCCAGTGGGTGCTGAGCACCATAGATGCCCTTCTCATCACTAACAACCTAGGATAAGAAAGCCAGGAAGGGTAGCCTGCATCCCATCCTTAGAGTTGCTGACCGAAAAAGTTCTGACCATTATAGGCTCAATTCTCCCGGAAGGGCTTGTACAGCGGGGCTTGTACAGCCCACAATAGTCAATTTTTCGCTATTGCTAATGGTTTCTGTGTACTGAATAGCGTTTACTTATTACATTCCTTCTTCATCACTATCCTGGAAGGTAGGTACTCTTGTCTTCATTTTGGAAACAGGTTCAGAGAGTGGCGTCATTGCTGGCCAGGACCCTTGAATGGCCACCTAAAAGTACTCTCTGCTTCCACCTTGAGGCCCTGCAACTCACTGCCTGTGCGGTAGCAAACCAGAAACCTTCTCAGTGGTTCCCTTGCTCTGCAACTTAAGGCCTTGGACTTGCCTACGTATCCTACGTCTCCATAACATTTTCTATTTCTCCATCGTTTCTTTATTCATCATCATTCAGGTTTCAACCAAAAGAGGCCTTGGCTGCCCTTTCCAGGGATGTTCTAAGACTCTGCCAGGCCTACCATGCCACTTTCCTATTCTAGTCTACTCACCATCCCATCATCCCATACTCACACAGTATCTAGGCTAGTGTGTGGCACACAGTAGGTGCTCAGGAAATATTCATTGAGTAAGTGCTAACAGACTAGTTGTAGGTTATATGGCAATGACTGATGAACCATACAGTTAAACTCATGACCACCTTACCCGTAATGGTGAAGCAGATTTGTATTTGATTTGGCTGTTCAGGTGGAGGCAGACAGAGATAGGGGCTCCCCAGGGTCACTCACAGATAACTCATTTGGAGCCCCAATTCCAATGTTTCATAGAGTTCCTGGCAGTGGGGAGGCGAGGTGAGGGTCTTCTGTGAAGACAGAGTCTAAGAAGGAGAAGAGGAGAGGATGGAGACATCCCTGGACAACGCTAGTACACTAGGGTGTCTATCTGGGAAGCCAGCACCCCAGCCTGTGCCACTCAGCCGTGTGAGCCTCACCCCAGGCTCCCACAACCCACGAAGGCTATAGATATCAGTCACCAACTCTTGTTTCTCCCTCTTACAAAGAGTCCTAGACATTGATGTAAGACATCTACAGTAAACGTCGGCACCAGCACCCAGGCCAGCTCCCTGGTTGAGGGACAGGCTCCTGGATGTCTCTTTAGTTGTGCCCTTCCATAGGAGGGTCTTCTTATTTTGGCACACCAGCAACAAGGTCACTTGGGGCCTGATTCCCATGCCACAGGGTCTGTAAGATCCTTTTCATCTATAGTCAGGTAAAGCTGGAAGTCAGGGTGAGGAAGACAGCTCAGTGGGTAAAAGCATGCATGACACAAGCCTAAGGACCCAAGTTCAAATCCCAGGACCCAAGTAAACTCAGACATGTAGCATGAACATCTGTAATTCTAGCACATCTGTGGGAAGACAGCATGAGACATGACAATCCCTGGAAACTGCAGGCCAGTTAGCTCAGCAGACATGGTGCGGAACCAAGCAAGAGGCTGTCTCAAGCCAGGGGGGAAGCCAAGAGCCAACACCTGAGGTTGTCCTCTGACCTCTTGACCTCTGTATACAATACACAGCATGAGCATGCATGCATTCACACTATACACACACACACACACATACACACACACACACACACACACACACACACACACAAACTAAAAAGTAAAGGAAGGAAGAGAGGAAGGAAGGAAGTTGGAAATTGATTGTGCCCTTCTCTATCTACAACCTGGATTGGGGAGAGTTGTACATAACATTCTCAACTTCAACCAAGGTGTCTGGCATACCCAACAATAATCTTGACTTTTATTACTGAGCAGAATTTAAAAATAAAGGGAGATGGGGTGAATGCAGAAAACAGGCTCTTTCTGGGGCTCCCACAGTCTAATAGGGCACACAGAGAACACCGTATGCTGTTTAACTGGCTTAGACTGAGCTAGGCCAGGAAGACTTGTGTCCAAATTCTGACTCAGTTGTTAAGTGGCTTAAAGCCACCAAAGTCCCAAGGCTCCCAAGGTTGCTTCTTAAGGTGTCTACCAGGTCCCTGCATGCATGATAAATGGCAGTAGCTGTTGTCATTGCCATTGTTGTTATGGGAAACAACCCGCAGGTCACATATTAAGAAGCATAAATAAATGAATTAATTCCAGGACATTGCAGCTTGTAACTAATGGATAGGCCAGGAAGGGGAGGGGGAGATGCCATTGAATGATGTTGTAGGGCAAATTTCTCAAAAGAGGCGAGTTTTGAAGCTGAAAGACGATTCACAGAACATCAGTCATATTATCTCAGCAGAGACCTCTGAGATAATATGATGTTTAGGGCTCTTCTAGGTGCTGTTTTCCTGGTTTTATTTTGTTTTGTTTTTTACTTCCGAGCACACAGAGAAAGGGGAACTATTTGATCTACATGACAGAGCGCAGACCAAACTCAGTTGGAGAAGACCCTACCAGGGTCTGGACCTACCCGGATTTCTTAAAGGAAGGGCTCACTCTGCCAATGCAGGCCCCTCTGTTCGGCTCAGCAGTGTGCTGTGGAGAAGCTGGTCTAGGATAAGCTCTTCCACCAGGAGAGAAGATTTGGAGACCAAAAGTGACAGGGCTAGAGTCTTCTCTGGGCCAGTGCTAAGAAGGTAACTGGAGTTTCTTATATGATATTATTGTCTCTTAAATGACCAGAAAATGGGACCTGGCAAGATGGCTTTTAAGCACTGGCTGTTTTTCCAGGGGACCTGGATTGAATTCCCAGCACTAATATGGTGGTTCACAACCATCTGTGACTCTAGTTTCAGGGGATGTGGCGCCCTCTCCTGGCTTCCATAGGCAGTAGGCACACAGGTGGAGCACAGGGATACAAGCAATCAAAACACCCACACACCTAAAGCAAAATGAAATAAAAATCTGAAAATGAAAAAGGGCAGGAAGACATTGAATAAGGGGAGGTCAAGGATCCATTTTCAAGTCAAGAAAACAGAGCTTTAGACCCTCCCTGCCCTGAGCACCCAGTGTCTGAGGCAGTATGCTGACTGCTATCCATGCCTGTTTCCATGGTCTCATTCAATGATGGGAACCACCCTGAGAGACGACACTGTCAACCAAGTTCTTAGTCCTGCCTGGATAGTCACCCAAAGGGCAGGATCCACCGGCTGCGTCTCCAAAGTGATGCCACTCACACTCACACCACTTGCAGCGGTGTGCGGGCTGATCCGATGGCCTCATCGCCACAGCCAGAGAAGGCAACCTGCCAGGGAGGAATGGTGGACACTCTCCATCCGCGTCAGCTTCCCATTCCCTTCCCCTACCTCCCCTTCCTGTCACATCCACTGACGCCACCTCTGGGCTTGGTCCTGCTACCTTGTCCCTGTGTGACCATCTGCCAGGTAAAAAGTATGTTAACATCGCACACACTCTGTCTGCCTTGCAGAGTTACTGGCCAGGACTCTTGGGGATGGGAATCTTACCCAAGGAGGTAAACCACAGAAACCCAGCTTAACCACGGATCCGCTTGGCACACCTATACCCAAGGTGGGTTCCTTCCATCTTGAATGCCCTCAGGTGGGGCCAGTGAAACCACTCCCTCAGTTTGTCACTGCCAGCCTCCTCAGCCAACTCTGGGGCTCCCTCTCCAAGATCTCTTTGCATTGCCTCTTGAGGTGGCCAAGTCACCAGTTTCCCTGGGCTAAGCCCATCTTCACCAGAACAACCACATCACATTTCCTCATGTCTTCAGAGCTCCTTTCTCAGAATAGCCACGTCCATGTTTCTTTGGATGCTCGTCAGCCCTTGGCCTCTTCCACACGGTGCCGTGGGAACTCAGCTATTCCACTCAGGCCGCATAGTGGAAATGAGACTAAAACCCAGAGTCCTTTGTTGACCTAGGAGGGCTGCCACTGACCTTGCCTTTGCCCCCTCCACTCTTGCCCATCCCAGTATCTCACTTACTGGGTTCCTCCACGCTGCCCTTGAAAACAAACGTTGCTTCCCCGGGGCTTTTGTGAAAGCTGTTTCCTTGGCCTGGGACACTCGGTCCCTAGTCCTATCCCTGTTTCTCCAGCCGTTCTGTGACCCAAACTTTATACATGGTTCCCCTGCCATTTCCTTCATGACATGTAGGAAAGGATAGGTAGGACTGTTTGTTTATTCTTTCCCACTCCAAGGCAGGCGCTGGGGATGAGGACTGGGTCTTCTTGTCCTCCATTGTCCCTTTGGCTATCATGGTTCCTGGATACCCACTAAGAATTTACCAGAAACCTTCTGAGCAAATGATGGGATGATTTAGACATCTCAATTCAACCCTGTTGCTGACTAGCTGTGTGACATTGAGTGAGTCCCTACCTGACTTGGGATCTCTTGGCCTCTCCACAGTTGTGTGACATTGAGTGAGTCCCTACCTGACTTGGGATCTCTTGGCCTCTCCACAGTTGTGTGACATTGAATGAGTCCCTACCTGACTTGGGATCTCTTGGTCTCTCCACAGTTGTGTGACATTGAATGAGTCCTTACTGGACTTCAGATCTCTTGGCCTCTCCTCAGTCAAATGGGGAGAGGAAGGAAGAGGACAGAAATCATCCTGAATGTTCCTCCAGCTTAGCACCTGCCACAGCCAGGAGGAGACCTTAAAGACAGCACTTAGAGGACACACACTTGGGCCAGTGAGATGTCTCAGCAGGTAAAAGCACTTGCCACACCAGCCTGATGACCTACCTGAGTTCAGGCCCCGGAAGTCACAGAAAGGGGGAAGAAGAGAACAGACTCCACAAAGTCGTCCTGACCTTCATACACATGCTGCGGCATGCACGTGCCCCCACACTTACATTACACAAATGCACACATGCAAATAATAAAAAATAAATTTAAATTTATAAATTTTAAAAGAAGGTGAACATCTTAGGTGAGTAAAAACTTCTCAACCCCCCCTCCCCCGCGCTGCCACCGCCACCATCCAAAGAAACCACACACATGTTTAAATATACTGGTATTTAGAGTGTTTTATGTTGCTCCATAAAAGACTAGAAGGCTCTCACCAGCATGAGAAAACCTGAAGTGGAGAAAACCCTGGAGCTTTCTCCAGGTGAGTCCCAGGCTCTGCCAGGGTCATGATGGGTACTCACTACAGGACTCATTGCACACCTTAGCATATTAGGGAGCCAGGGTGATCAAGAGCCTTCCATTTGCAAAGCTCAGCATCCCCAGAGAGTGCTCTGGGACCTGGGGTAGGCTCAGTGCTTAGAATTATATATAGAGAGAGAAAACTATATAGTCTGTGCTTTAAATTTCTAATGAATTCACCTGGTGCCAACTGCTTCCAGGCCTCCCAGCTCCCAGCCATGCATGCACAGCTTTCTTTAGATGCTATCTGTGCTCATAAATATTTGTGGAGCAGAGGAGAGGCTAAGTCCATTCATGGCAAGCTATCCCTTTTTATTCTCCATCTCTACAAAGTTCTTGAACTCAAAGATTAATCCAGAAGCCCTGCTGGAATTCACTGTTTGATGGGGACCACCCAAGAAGATAACTCCTATGCCTAGTAAAGTCTCAGAGGGACAGGAATTCTCAGTGCTCCCACTATCTGGGGTCCCAGGTAAACTGGGGAACATATCATTCTGTCTTTTTCTGTGCCTTGCTCCTAGAATTATTTGGTGATGAAGACACTTGAGACAGACACTGACCATGGTGGTGTATGCTGGTCCTAGGTAGTTGAGTAATATCACCCATAAGCGTCCCTCTACATTCACCCTGTAAACCTCAAATACATATGAGACCTCAAAGCTGGTCTTGAGTCTGTGATGGCATAAACGGGAGGCTTCAAGAGAAGTCTTCTGTTGTCTCTTAATACTTGTTCCCTCCCTCATAGCTTGTAACAGTCTGCTGGAGTCAAAAAGTCAGGAAGGAAGAGTTAGAGTCCCGATTCTGTCTCTCCCTTACCATGAGCCTGGACATGCCACGGCCTTTCTTCCTTCCTCTATGTCAGGAGGAAGTGGGACTAGGCCAGCAGATATTTTGGTTCTAGAGAGGTTCTAGATTCTAGAGAGATTCTAGAAGCACATTGTGATTCTACAAAATATGACACCAAGGCTCAAATCTCAGAAGCCATTTGCTCAGGATCCTAAGACAGTTGCCTGAAGACCCAGACACCCATCCCTTCTTATTCTGGACGGACCACAATATATACCACAAACATGGGACATCTCTGTCATCTCAGATAGCTCTGTCATGGAGTACTGGTTTGGGCATTATCTACATCTGTGTTTCCTCCATTAGATCCGTCTCTTGAAGGACAGAAGTTTCCACATCTTTATCTTTACACCTCAAGTATTTAGTCTTTAATGGATGGATTTGCCTACTGGCAAGAAGCTTACCTCTTAATTGGGAACCTGAGTCGGAAATTCAGAGTGGGACAGGGTAATAAAGAGGGTGCGTGGTAGAGTGACTCAGAGAAGCAGAATCCAGGAGCCTGCAGCTGGAATAGAAAGTGGTGCTAATCACCCTGTAAAGGAAGCACCTGGCGGGAGTGGGAGCCCAGTGAGTGGGAGCAAGCAGACCCCACCACGAGGGAAGCCAGCAGAGGGCGCTTCCTTCACCCCCTCCACAGATGACTCGAGCTGGGCAGCTGCCTCCTTAGCACCAGGAGGCAACCCTGCTAATTACCAAACCCAAATTCAGCTTTGCATTTTATGAAACTGTTCACACAGGAGGCAAATCTATTCCTTTTTTTAAAAAAAAAAAATCAAGATGGATAGGGGGAGAAAAAGCTCATACCAGTACATACTAATTCAATCTCATCTTGGTCATTTCAGTTTCCCTAAGAAAGTGCTTTCACAAAGCTACAAAGCTAACATCCATAACTCTCCAGTTTCCCCAGACAGGGTACCTCTGCATTAAGCTTCCCATTTATCTTCAGAGATGGCAAATCATCCATTTATAATGGGATCTAATAAAGCAAGCTCCCATCATAGTCCCAGCTGTAAGAATGAGCCTGGGACAGAAAGACACTGCTGCTCAGGGGCCTGTAACTGCTACATCTTCTGAAGGACGTCTGCCTGCATATGGCGGCTGCCTGCATGCGGTGACAAGGGGCAATAGTGCACTTCAGGATGTGGTGGCATGTGTGTGTGACCTGCAGGGCCTACCTAGTATCCTAATCCCTGTAACACGTGCACGCGCACACGCGCGCACAGTCAATTTATTGAGACCATTGGAAAAAGAGCTGGGCCTAACCCCATTTCACTCTCTAAGGTACCAAGGACTTTCTGGAAGGTACAAATTAGAAATGGATGATTTTAGGTTTAGCAGAATGATTCAGAGGTTCAACTGAGTCAGCAAGGACAATGCCCCATTGTCCCAAGGTAGGGTCGCTGAGAGCAACCTCTGAACTGAATTTTACCAAGAGGGTACTTACTAAGGAGTATTACAAAAGCTGGATCCTCTGTAAGAGCAGCCAGTGCTCGTAACCACTGAGCCATCTTTCTAGCCCCTTATGAAAGGACTGTTAGAGCCATCCCAAATCTAGCCAGATGGCATGTATCAACTCATGTATCAATCTGTTACTGAGTGTGAGCAATCCCAAAAGGGTCTCAGCCTTGGTTGGGTAGGAGACTCTCTGCCACTGAATTGTCCCCTAAAGATTCTAAGTGCAGACTGCTTTCCCAGCATCTGACCAGCAAGTTCTTCACTGATGAGGACCTGGTGGCCATCGCAGTGTCCAACACGCCTACTGAAAAAGCTGTCTCTGTCCTCCTTCCCTGCCTCCATAACGAAGTGTTGTTTCGGCATACTCTGTCTGTGGAGGTATGGTAGACACTGCTCAAGTCAGTGTCCTAGCCTTGTAGAGTGGCAGGCAATTAGCCTGGCCCAGTTGCTTGTTTAGTTCGATGCCTTCTAGCCAGGTGACACAGAAAAGACCTTCAGACTAGGCCCGCCCAACCTTTGGCTCATCAACTGTGTGAAACAGAGGTCCTTGGGAATGGTAGATGTGAGGGCTCAGCCCTGCCCAGAGCTAGCACGGACTGAGAGGTCCAAAGATCAAGGAGAGCCAATCCACAAGTGTCTACGGGGCATCCTGGTCCCCCAAGCCTGAGCTCTGGTGGAATGGAAGTTAGGGCATGCATCCCTAAAGTAGCTGCCACCAAATGCTTTCAGGGGACCTCCTGACCTGGCAGGAAGACAAGCTGAGCATCTTATGTCAGATGAGTGATAAATGCCCCACACTCTGCTCCCCAGCAGAGGAGTGAAGTTCTGGTCTCAATGTGACACTGTTTCTTTATCCAAGTAGAAATGGAAGGAGGGGACCCTTGGAGGTCTCAGCTTCCACACAGGGTAAGATACCCTTGTCTTCCTTCAGGTTATTCAAAAAGGAGATGCAGAGGCCAGGGACCAAGTGCAAGGTCATCATTCTAGAAGTAAAACCAAGAAGTACCAGGAGGGAGGTGAGGAAAAAGGTAGAGAGGAAGACAACCAAGGAAGCTGATCACTGAGGAGATTTCCACTGTGAGAAATAGAGCTTCACGCTTTTGGCAACTCTGGAAGGCAATAACAAGGAGGAAGGGACTGGGACATTTGCATACTGGCTCCCTTCAGACAGCTGTGAAGGCTACTCCTAAGTGCCATCCATACCTTGGGACTTCCAGCTGGTCATCAGGAAGTGAACAGAGAAGGTTCTGCGGCAGGAAGAAATGGGTGCTGGTACTTGAAGGATACTAGGGTGCACTGGAAAAGGGCGGAGGGATAAATGGACATTTGTAGGACATGTTACACTCTCTTCTGCCTCTGAGAGGTCTGCCTACAAAGCCTCTACTCAAACTTTCCCAGAGATGAAGAACCTACCTCCTCACAACCTACTGCACGTCGGACAGTCAACCTCTCAGAAACGCAACGCTTGGGTCAAGCCAAATTCCATTCACTGCCCAGTCCTTCCAGTGCCTTCCACTTGAACAAGGACAGCTCCGGTGTCTGTCAGCATCGATAAAGAGCACTATAAAAAGCATCTATCATGCGTTAGGCTTAGTAAATACATTCTGAACGAATCACTGAATGGGTGCATGGATGCACACATGCCTGACCTCTGTCTCTAAGGAATTTGCAACTTTTATTCCTGTTTTTAGATTGCTTTTCCACTTAGTGCCCACGTGTTTGGACCCCCACTCCCACCTCATGCTCTTAAGTACAGTGCCTCAAACAGAGCTGAGATCCAGTAAGCATTCAGTAAACTCCTGCTCACTCTGGGCTCTATTCTTCCAAAGCACAAAGAGTTAAGACAATGTTAGAAGACAACAAAACATGAGCAGTTGTTTGGGTTTTAGAAAATGTGCTAGGTGTTTAATCAGCATCCCTGGGTAGGTATACACCACACATATACACACACTTGCTCAAAAAACTAGTACTTTAGACAGAGTCAACTCTTATAGTGCAGAAGATATGGAGGCCTATTCAGCCTAGGTATGGAAATCACCAGGAAGATTAGCCATCTTGTCTCTGCCACCAACACTCTTGAGAAGGTCCCCAGAGCAGTTTAACCCTCAGACTCAGACACCACAATTCCTGCAGTCTGTCTGTGTAAGAGGAGCATGATCTTCAGAGCTCCTCTGGGAAGGAAGGAAGGAGCCATTGCCCTCTCTGCCATGGGTACCTCCTCTGAGAGCCTCCGTGTGTGGAGATGGGCTGTGGATTAGCTCCCCTCCTGAAATATGGCTCCCGTGCCAGGAAAAACGAGTTAAGCTTTTCCGCCTCTAGCTGCAGGCTTAGTGGTACAGATTACAACAGCAGGTGATGAGCGACGCGGGCGCTGCTGTGGAGACTGTGCAAATCCCGTTACAGGGCAAAGGCGTTTTAGCTCCAGTTCCAAATTTCAAAGAATGATTGAGTTGGAACGTGGCAGGCAGGAGGCAACTGGGGACCAAAGCTATTTGACTTAAACTCAGAGCCAGGCCGGGGGGGGGGGGGATGCCGGGGTAGAAGATTCCAGCGAGGAACCCAGGTGTGTGCCTCTGCCCAATCATCTCCAGCAACCCTCCCCCTCCTCTGCCCATCTTTCTGCATGAGGAACTCCCATCCATTGGGAATCTTGCCTTCCCCAACAATCTACAAGATCTTGGGGATCAGAAGCCCCTATTTTTTCAACCCAGTGGAGTTCAGCACAGCTCCTAGAACATGTGAACTGCTCAATGAAGTTTGCAGAATGATCATTCGGTGACTGTCTCAAAGCCCAGTCTTCCCTTGCTCTGCCTGGTTTCTAGATTTCTCCCACACCTGCTCAGGGCACTCCTGGAAGTCCTTATCATTATGCAGTTCCCAGGCAAAGAAACAGTCCCGGCTAAGAGACCAGAATCTCACTATAAAAGACACAGGACAAGGATGAAGCTCCACAAGCAGCCTGGGAAACAAATGAGATTTTAGAGTGTGTTGCCATATTAGAGTCCAAAACCTCCACCAGCACATCCTCACTCCACACCCCTCCCACTTTCCCTTGCCCCACGGCCATTGGCTCTAACTTACCTTTAACAACAATAACAGACAAACAAATAAATCAACAAAAACAGCCTGATGGGTTTTAGCAGAAAAGAGGCTCTGAGCTTGCAGACCGGGGGGATATGGATTCAAATCCTGCTTTTCACATCATTTAACCTTTCTGAACTTCGGGTTCCTCGTCTGCCAACTGCCCATCGTAGAAGCTGCACACTGAGACTGCAGATAAAGAAACTTCTCAGGGGAAATTACTCATCACAGCGACATGGCTATGGTTGGAATCTCCATAACTAAATCGGAGACCTGCCCAGCTCCCCTAAACTCAGATAAAGAACTGTGCTGGGCCCTTTAAAGAATCCCGGAGTAGGCACCTAGGCACAGAAAGCAAAGCCCAGAGCTGTTTTCCATGCCAAGGTGCTGCTCTCCTCTGTCAAGAACAACTGATCAGTGTGTGTGTGTGTGTGTGTGTGTGTGTATGTGTGTGTGTGTGTCTGTCTGTCTGTCTGTCTGTCTGTCTATCTGTCCATGTGTATGTATTTGGAGGCCAGGGGTTGATGTTGAATGTCTTTCTCAATCACTCCCCATCTTATTTTTTGAGACAGGGTCTCTTTGAACCTGGAGCTTCTATTTCAGCTAGACTGGTTGGCCAGTAAGCCCCGAGAGTCTGCCTGTCTCTATCCCCCTCCAAGCACTGACTTAGAGGTACATCTTCCCTGCTCACCTTTCACCTGATGCCGAGGATCTAAACTCAGGTCCTCATGCTTGCACACACTGTACCCACGGAGCTACCCATTTCCCCCAGCACCCACTGCCTGTTCTACCCCGGGCAGGGACCCACTGTCTAGTAGAGAAAAAAGTGAGGGCAGATCTCATTTCCTCTCCATTTCCTTTCTTCCTTCCCTAGTTCCATGATGTGGTGATTAAGGCTCGCCATATGCTCGCCCTGCTGGGAGTGAGTACGTGGGATATAAAAGATGGAGATGATCTGGTCCCTGCTGGCAGCAGCTTACTGTCCAGCTGAGGAAATGGAATGACTAATACTGAGCAGCCAGCCACATCCCCAGCAAGAGTGTGGAGTGTACCGGCCAAGTGGGATCAGATGACAGGTGCCATGGTCTGGGTGTCTCGGGAGCCTCTGGAATGTTGGGTGGAAGTTCCCGTTACCCACCTGGGTGGAGGCAGACTGTTAGGAAAGCCTGCATGGAGGTGAAATGGGGCCCTAGGAAGGTAGGTAGGAAGGGCCCTGTCTCTGTAGGTACTCAGAGAGTGTCGGGTGGTCCTCTCCCGGCACACCACACCGATGACAGTTCCTTTGAAAAGTCCATTGTAAGAGAAGCAACAGCCTCCAGAAAGGTCAGCTGCATTCTCTCCAGAGAAGCTGAAGCTTGTCTGAGCAGGGCTCAGATCAAGCGCTCGCCAGATCAGCTTAGCGGGGCTTCAGTCTCCTCATCTCACATAAGCCATCCTCCCCTCCAATTTCTCTTGCCCAGCTCCTCCAGGCCAAGATTTAGAATCGTGGCTGCCTCTCCCTCCAAGGGAAAACAAAGTGGAAGGCCCGCAAAGACCATCTGAAAATCCTCTTGTTTGCTCTTCCCTTCCCAGTCTCGGCAGAACGCGCTGGCAGGGGCCCAGACAAACAGGAAGCGGCCTCACTTCTGCCATGCCCTTTGCAAAGGCTGAGCCTACACGCCCTGCCCACCCCCCCCAGCAAGGGCCAGCATTGGGGAAGGAGTTGGGCACTGTGAGGTACTCGGGGACCCTGGGCCTCTCATTTCTCCAGGCAGCAAATAGAAAGGAGTTTTATAGCCACCCATTCTGGGGATCCTCCTGTCTACTGAAAGGTTGTCACTCCAAAGATCCCAGCACTGTCAAATGTGGCATTTAGGAGTCATCTACTGCAGCCACCTCATTAACTGTGTCCGGGAGATGTCACAGTAGTGTCCAACCTATAGTGACTTCCTAGGGTGACCACCAGCTGAGCTCTTGGTACACGTGAGAAGGGCGACACTGTTAATGGTGAAATTATTTTCCCCTTATCCATACATAGCCTCTCCACCCCATACATCACAGCTAGCACAGCCTGGGGTACACCCGAGCTGGAGTCAAGTCCTTGCTCCTGTAGCTGAGAACTATATTACTAGTTTGTGAAGGAGGCTACGCTTAGGTGTCAGCATCTTTGTGGTTATATAGAGCTGAGACTGGTGAGCTGTGCTGGAGTTATGATGGCCGAAAGGACAGGATGCACACAGAGCCTTGGGCATCTGAGTGGAAACCCACTTCACCTCCATCTCTGAAGACACTACCAGGAGCAGAAACGAACAGCGAGGAGCCTTCCCCACAGGTCAGTCCCAGGTTCCTATGGGCCCCGACTGCTTCTTCTCTGGGATTGAACAAGAAGAATGGGACAGAGAAGGGAGGATCGCTGTCCTGAGAGCCAGAAACTGACTCTGATATATCTTGCCAGAGCAGCTCAAACACGTCCAGCCAGGCCACACAAGTGGCATGGAACGTTGGGCAGGCAGACATCCCATATGGCCAGCTGAGGCAAGAGGAGCTGACAGCTTCACTACGGGAGAAGGCAGACAGTAAGAACAGTGTCTCCCAGCTGGGTGTCGTGGACCCTCTTGAGGAATAAATGGCTGGACCGCTGAACACTCTGGGTTCACAAAGGGACTGAGCCCACTCCTGTAACACCAAATAAGGAGGGCCAGTCCAATGAGAAATGGCCGAAAGGAAGTGGGGTGGTTATTTTAACTGTGCACTGGAGTGGGCCGGGGCGTGCCGTGTATTTGGTCAAACATTATTTGGTCAAACATTATTCTAAGAGGTGTCAGCGTGTATCGGGATAACCGTGTTTGAACTGGTAGCTGGAGCAAAGCAGATCACATTCCCAGTGCGAGAGGGCCCTTGTCCAATCAGGGGAGCGTGGAGCAGAGCAAACTCAGCAGAAAAACGAAGCTGTTTCCTAAGGAACCGAGAATCTCTCTGCCTGACACTTCGTCCGGTTTTTTTCATAGCTGAAGACCACAACAGCAACTCACCCTGGCTCTCAAGCTTTTGGACCGGAACTCACACCCTCAGCTATCCACGGTCTTCAGTGTGGGACTTGTTGGCCTTCGGAGTCATTCCAGCCAGCTCCTCATGCTGTTATACATGTCATATATACATCTGTGTATATAATATGTAAAATACGTAGGTTTCATATTCTGTTGATTCTGGTTCTCTGGAGGGCCCCGACTAATCCAGGGAGACCCACCCCCTACTCAGAGATATCCCAGCATGCTAAGCTGTAAAAGCTAACAGAGACGGGAGAGCTTTGTCCTGCTCCTGAACTATAACAGCAGGCCTCTGAGCAGTACTGGGACATCTGGTAGGGAGATGAGTTCCGTGTTCTGAAAAGACCCTTCCAGTTCTCAGTCTCTGCTTTAAAATGAACATAGTGAAACCTCATGTGGCCTTTCTGCCTATGCATCAGCAGGGCCCCTGTAGCCAGAGCAGAAGTCACATGACAGAGGCTTGGTCCTTAGCTTCTCTTTTTGCCCCCACCATTTCCACTACTGAGCTCACAGGGCAGGTGAGCTCCTCTGATTCCTAACCCTTCCACAAAGATGCTGAAAGATAGGTGAGGATAGCCAGGGAATGGGAGACTGGGAGGAAGCCTAGGGAATCCTGAGACAATACCAGGAGACAGAGCAGCGGATGATAGACCAGCAGGAAGGATGAAAGAACAGGTTATCCCTACACCACGACCCCCTCCTGCTCCCCACTTCCATGGCTCAGAGTCATGGTATGTACGGTGTGTGAGGCTCTGGGTGAAGACAGGAACCCAGAGCGTTTCTACAAGGAAATAATGGGCACAAAGAAGATGTAAAGGCTACTTAACCCAGAAAGGAAAGTTCCCGTCTTTGTGTACTCTAAATAAAGATTAAGAAGGAAACAGTCTTTCTCTTGCTTGAGATGTTTGGGGGAATAATCCTATTAGGACAGAAAGACATGAAGAGAGGTTACCTCCACGGCAGCGATGGCGAGCTGAGAACAGGGAGAGCTGGGTCAATTCTCACCCCTGCCTCCTCCTGCTCCTCCTCCCTCCCTCTCTCCCCTGATCCCTGAAGAGACTCCAGCCCTGAATCTTCCTAAAAGTCGTTCCTTTCCCAGGAACTTTCTCAGGCTGCCTCTGTGCTGATATCTCAAAGGATTCCTGGAAGGGCAACCACGCTGCTCTGCGTTTGCCCTCTGAGGGCTGTGTGCCTGGGCAGTGGTGGCATTGAAAACTGACCACAAGAGTGATGGCAGCTGATAGTGACTCTGGGGACAGTGAGTGGAGCTGTAAGAGCTTTGGATGCCAAGGCTCAGCCCGGGGAGCTCCTGAGGAGACGCTGCCTGTCCCCTGTCCCCAGAAAACCAAGCAGGGCCAAAGAAGGGAAACACATGTGTCCCTAGTCTCTTTTCTACTGGGGTTCAGTAAGTCTCCAGAAACTGGGTATTACAAACTGACTTTGTCTCCCACCAAATTTTTCTCTTAACATTGTAACTCCCCCAATACCTCAGAATGTATCCGTCTACAGAGACACTTTTTTACTAAGAGAGTCAAGTTAAAGTGGAGTCATCAGGGTGTGCCCTCACCCAGAATGACTGAAACCGAGGACTGAATTATTTCCCTGAATATTTCTCATCTTGAATCTCAGCCCTCAAAGGGATCGTAGTTGGAAGCAGGGCCTGTGACCCTAATCTGACGTGGTCAGTGCTGGTACCCCTCCCAGAGGTTCCAGGACGTCCTCCCTTTCTCATGTGAAGGCACAGGGAGAAGGTGGTCCTCTGCAAGCAAGAAGAGACTTTCCCACCTTGATCTGGGGTTCCTCGGCCCCCAGAACTGTAGGAAAAGAAGTGGCTGTTGCCTAGGCCATGCTGTCGCTGGTATTTTGTTACGACAGGCTGAGCACACTAATGTAATTGGTGACCCCCACAAAAGGAAAATTGGGAAGCCCGCAGAAGGAAGTCAGTGTGGAAAAACAGAGAAGGCAGCCATCTACAAACCCAATGGAGGGACCCAGACCAGATCCCCCACCACACCACCCCCACGCCCCACCCGTAATGTCCCCTTCCTCTCTCTGCAGGAACCAGGCCCTCAGGTCACACCTTGTTCACAGACATCTGCCCTCGGAGCTCTCAAGAGTTGAGTGTTTTGGGCTTGTTGCTTTGTTTTGCTTGAGACACTGTAGCTCAGGCTAGCCTGGAACATACTGTGTAACCCAGGCTAACTTCAAATTCATGTCAATCTCCTTACCTCAGCTTCCAAAGTGCTGGGATTACTGGCATGTGCCACCATATCTGGCTTGTACTTCCATGGTTTAAGACACCCTCCCTGTCCGTGCTTCTTCAAATAGATAAGGCTGAAATGGATCTAAGGCAACCTGGACAGATTGGTTTTTCATGCAGCCCTTTCCCCTCACCTGAAGGGGAACCCACCCCCGCCCCCATGGCCCTTCCTTCCTGTGGACTGAGTTCCGAGGCCCTGGAATGCCAAGTCTCTATCTCATTTTGGGGTGGACTCCAGACAAGACCCTATTTTGTCTTGCAAGAAGGAATCATTTTTAATCAGGCAACAGTGAGTCTGAGAGAGCAACCCATGGAGACAGTGCAGGCCGAGTGCCAGAGAGAAGGCCAGTTGCCAAAGCCCAGCTCCCTGTTTTAATTCCCTGGCTCTGAAGGGAGGGCATCTCCACCCTGCCGGAGGGGAGGGAAAAGACAGGGCACTTATCAGCAGAAGCAGAAGCCCTCCCGGAGGCTTGGCTGGTGCCCTGCTCTGGCAGGGCCTGTCCTAGCACCGTATCAAGCCAGACTGCAGGGTACTGGAGGCAAAAAAAAAAAAAAAAATGTTGGAAGCAAAGAAAGGGGAAGATGGCATGTTGGTGCCCACAGCCAGTGGTTCCCGCCCCGCCCCCTTCGCCTACTCCCTTAGTGTAGAAAGAAGGAAGGAGTCCCAAGGAAGGAAGGGGTCCCTGCCATATAGTTGCAAAGAAGTCTAGAGATAGGGCTTGTTAGGCATGAGGGATCTGGTGGACAAGCAGAGGATGCTGGCATGGGGAACAAGGGACAGAGACCGGAGGAAAACACGCTTAGATGGAGCTGTCTCCAAAGGCCGCGGAGACACTTCAGAAAGCCCATCCGTCCAACTTTCCCATCTCTGTCAGACTGCACTGCCAGTGCCTCTGGGGTTCACCGTTGCTACAAACTAGCAACAAAACAACAGTCAGAACCCCCAGCCTGCTGCCCTGCCCTGCGGACGGACAGACACACTCCCCTTTCATCCCTTAATGTGTTTGGAGAGAGATCGGGAGACAGGAGCCTGCTCCCCAGCCACAGAGGGGCACGTGGGGTGAGAGGAAGCCCAGACCAGGCACAGATTTCAGGACCATAGAATGAAATCCCTACACCATCAGACTGACTTTGGATTCTGGCAGATGAGCAGATGAGAAGAGGCTAGGGCAGCTTGACAAACCCATCTGAACCAAAAGACAACGGGCCTGGAGAACGGTCACACCCCCACTCCAGGCCCTCCTAAGACAGCTTTGAATCCTTGGCGATGGATCCAGAAGGCAGACCCACATCTCAGCCAGCCGTGGTGGCAGCCTGTGTTTTCAGTAGCCAGGCACACTGAGCTCTGCTCCAACAAGCTCACTAAAGATCCTAAGGCTTAGGATAGCCTAGTAGTAGTAGTTTGTGGAAGGTGCTGAACTTTGGAAAAGGCAGACCCTCCTTTGGATCTTAGCTCTGCATAACTAGCTGGTGTGATGGACTGGTTCCACGAATCTTTGGGCTTGCTTTCCTTAATGTTAAGAAATCGAGATCAGAGCATGTACTTTCTGGTTTGCAGTGAATTCAGTGAGATTAGACGAGTCAGATACCTAGCAGATTTTTGGTAAATATTCTACTCCTTGTCCCTCCAACCTAAACTCCAACTCCTGGATGAGATGCCTGGAGAAGGGCTACCCAGATTCAGCCTTGAAAATTAGCAGTAATGTAGAACTCACCACTGTGCAAAGATGGCCACTCCATTCAGACCGGTCTAGTGGTCAGGATGCTGAAGTAAATAAAAGCCAGCCTCTTCATAATGCCTGGATGAGCCGTCTGCTACCTCCCACCAGCACAATAAGACAGAGGCGGAGGAACCGGCATATGCTCTCCTTCTCCTGTAATAGCAATTGCTGTCGCCATCTGTACCTTCTCCACTCATCCATCACTTCATCCATTGACTCATTCATTCCATGAGTAGCTAACCAGCCTTGCCACTGCAACCAGACACCAAGACGGGAGGCCCGAGTTCTTTCTGAATTGGGAACTCACCACAGACTAGATTCCCAGCCAAGCTTTGTAAACTTGCTGTCTTTACCTCACCAGAGGCCGGGGGAAAGGGATGGGAAAAAAATGGACTAGCTTTGGCCGTGCCTCTGGAGGGAAGGCCATGCTCTCAGAGCCTCCAGAGAGGCTATAGGTTGGTCACAGAGGAAGCACAGACCCCAATTTCCGATTCCCAACAGCAACTGAGCCCATGGCACATGCCAAGGAGCTGCTCTTTACTTTGAGATGAACCAGCTCAGCCTTATTTGCGAAGTGGTCCCCAAAGCCTCCACAGGAAGCATAATCTCACCATAAAGAATCCTTATCTTCTCCTGTGACTACTTCTCTCTCTTTTAAGAAATAGTCCGAGTTTGCAGTAAGCAAGCGTCCTCCTCTCTCCCCCGCCTTTACCTGATATTATTTTGGCTTCTGATAATTGCATTAGGTATAGAAACTGACTTTATGATGCTAATAATTATACACGCTTACAAAACAGATGGGTCTGGGATCCGGAGGGGGGAACGTTTATGGACTCGGAAATGAGACGTTTTGTGGGTAGGAAATGGATAGTTATTTCCAGGTTTTATTGCTGTGTTCTGTGGGCTTCTTCTTAAATCTTGTTGATAATACTTTGCCTGAATTGCCTTCCGTGCATTTTGTAGGGCTTAGCTCATCCATCCAGGGTATGCTGGGAAAGTGCCATTAACTAGGACTAGGAGAAGTCAGATACGACATGGGACAAGTCTGTCCACTTGGAAGAAGCACACACCACGAACTTGAGTCTTCCCACCAATGGAAGATGCATGACAGAGGAGCAGCTAATCGTGTACTAAGGCTGGGCAAAAGAGCCCCCAGAATATATGAATCAGAGGAAACCTCAGAAATCATCTGGTCAGCATTTCTCAATCTGGGGTTCCCCAGACCAGTAGTAGGGAGCCTGGTAAAAGTGCAATCATGGGTCCTACACAGACAACTGTCCTTGATTCCAGGTGACCATTGATGGCTAAAGTTTCCTGAGGTTTCACTGACCTGGGCCTGGGGAGATGACTCAGTCAATAAAGAATTTACCACACAAGCACAAAGTCTTGAGTTTGAATCATCAGCACCCATGTGAAAAGATGTGTGTGGTGAGTGTCCATAGTTCCAATCCTGGTGAGACAGACAGGAAGAACCCTGGAGATTACTAGCTTACTGGCCAGACAGTCTAGCCAAATTGGTGAGCTCCAGGTTCATTGAGAAACCCTGTCTCAAAAAAATCAAGTGGAAAGTAACAGAGGAAAACTCTTACTGACTTCTGGCTTAAACACACACACACACACACACACACACACA